TTTCTTCTTTCATTCCAGATTAATAAAAACTTGTAGTTATATCTTGGATGGTTGTTTATATGCAATTAAGACCCCAGACACTACTTACCTTGTTGTTATTGTTAAGTGTCATTGAGTCATAGACGACTCATAACGATCCTATGAACAAAAGATCTGAACACTTGTATAACTGTGGTCATCTCACCAAGTTCATAGAGTTTCCAGAGGCAAGCTATTTCAGAAGTGGATGCCACTCCTGCTTCCAAGCTGTTTTAATCAGGAAGCTCCACCAAACAGTCTCCACCATGGGTAACCATTATGCATTTGGCACTTCAGTGTCACAGTGTTTAGCATCACAGCAATCACGAGTTACCTCTGTACAGCAATGCACAGACCAGTGCTGTACCACTTAGAAGAATGTCAATAACATTGGTCAATATTACTTAGTGGGAAGTAAAATATAAATTTTACAAACTGTATCATGCAAACTGCCTTGATTATTCCATGAGACCATATAGCCCAAAGCCCCCAAGCCAAGAGAATGATTCCCATTGGGTGATGGAACCCACTGCCTTTGTGTGGATTCCATCTGATAGGGAAGCTCTGTTGGATTTCTTAGGCAGTAAGTCTATACAGGAGGAGCCTGCCCATCTGTCCGCCAAAGAATAGCTTTTGGGTTCATATCATTAGCCTTTTGGTCAGCAGCCTCTCATGTTATCCTGAACCACCAGTACTTCTAACAAGTATAACATTGTCCTACTCTCTTTCTTCCTTTTCTTTGGTGATATCTTGTGCTAATCACCTCTTATATTTTGCCTTTCTCTTCACCCAAATTATTGTGTATCTCTTGGAGAAATGTGGCATCAGAATTGGAGGTAGATTTATCAACAATCTGTGTTATGTAGATGATACAACCCTGCTTGCTGAAACTGAGGAGGATCTGAAGCACTTGCTGCAGACGGTCAAGGATTGCAGCCTTCTGTATGGATTGAAGGTCAACATCAAGAAGACAAAGATTCTCACCACTGGGCCAACTGGCAGCATGATAAATGGCAAAGAGATTGAGATTGTTAACAGCTTTAGTTTACTTGGCTCTACAATCAACACTCTTGGTACCAGCAGCCAGGAAATAAAAAGCAGTGCGAGTTTAATGGGGCAGCAAGTAATATATACTGGAGAGGATGTGGTGAAAAAGGAACTCTTATACATTGTTGATGAGATTGTAAAATGGTGCAACCTTTCTGGAAGGCAGTTTGGCGCTTCCTCAAAAAGTTGAACGTAGAAATTCCATATGACCCATCTATTCCACTACTTGGAATATACCCTGAGAAAATGAGAACTGAGGCACAAACTGAGATTTGTACACCAGTGTTCATGGCAGCATTATTTAGCATTGCAAGAACATGGAAACAGCCCAAATGTCCAACCACAAATGAATGGATTGAGAAATGATGGTACATTCACACAATGGAATACTATGCAGCACGCAGGAACAATAACTTTGTAAATTATTACCTAACTTGGGAGGGACTAGAGAACATTATGTTGAGTGAACTGAGTCACATAAGGATAAATATTGTATAAAACCATTTTTTTGTAGAATGAGTTTAAGGATCCAGGAGGGGTGGGAAAAGCTGGAAGCAGAGGAATATGGATGTGCAGGCGGAAGAGGGATTAATCATTGGGTTGTACAATTTGATGGGTGGAGGTGGTGAGGGAAATGGAAAGAATTTTTTCAAATTTGTATATGAATTTTGTAAATAAACAAGTGTTGTTGTTATGTGCCATCGAGTCGTTTCCAACTCATAGCGACCCTATGCACAACAGCTCTAAACCCTGCTCTATCCTGCGCCAACCGCACCGCCTCTGACACACCCATCCCGATTACCCCAGTCACCGAATCAATCCATCTCATAGAGGGTCTTCCCCTCCTGCGCTGTCCCTCCACCCTCCCAAGCATGATGTCCCTCTCCAAGGACCCGTCCCTCCTGGCAACATGTCCAAAGTATGTCAGACGAAGCCCCAGAATCCTTGCCTCCAAGGAGCAGCTTGGTTTAATCCTCTCCAAGATGGATCTGTTTGTTTTCCTGGCAGTCCATGGTACATTCAGTACTCTTCTCCAGCACCACAGCTCAAAAGCATCCACTCTCCTTCTGTCCTCCCTAGTCATTGTCCAACTCTCTGATGCATAACAAGCGATTGCAAATACCATGACCTGTATCAGGCGCACCTTAGTCTCCAGAGAGACACTGTTGCTCCTGAGTATGTTTGAGAGGTCCCTAACGGCAGACTTTCCCATCGCGATACGCTTTTTGATTTCCTGACTGCTGGTACCAAGAGTGTTAACTGTGGAGCCGAGCAAAGTGAAGCTGTGAACACTCTCAATCTCTTCGTCATCCATCCTGACGCTGCCAATTGGTCCAGTGGTGAGAATCTTTGTCTTCTTGACGTTGAGCCTTAGTCCATACTGAAGGCTGCAGTCCTTGACCCTTCGCAGCAAGTGCATGAGGTCCTCCTCAGTTTCAGCAAGCAAGGTTGTGTCATCATTGCATTGGGAAAGTCTACTGTCAGAAATTTTTCCAGAGTCCTGAAGAGCAATGATGTCAGTCTGGAGACTAAGGTGCTCCTGATCCAGTCCATGGTCTTTGTAATTACTTTGTAATTACTCAGAAAGCTGGGCAATAACTAGGGATGAAAGAAGGAGAATTGATGCCTTTGAGCTGTGGTGCTGGAGAAGAGTATTGAATATACCATGGACTGCTAGGAGAACAAACAAGTTTGTCCTAGAGAGGGTGAAACCAGGCTACTCCTTGGAGGCAAGGATTCTGAAGTTTTATCTGACATACTTTGGTCGTGTTGCAAAGCGAGACCAATCCTTGGAGAGGGACATCATGCTTGAGAGGGTGGAGGGGCGATACTAGAGAGGAAGACCTTCAATGAAAAGGATTGATTCAGTGACTGGGGTAATAGGGGTAGATGGGTCAGAGATGGGAAGATTAGCACAGGATAGAGCAGGATTTAAGGCTGTTGTACATAGGGTTGCTATGAGTCACAGGCCACTCAAGGACACATAATAATAAAAATTGTCTAATTACTAATTTGTTTCCCCCTTCTTCTCTCTTCCCATCCCTTGTTGTTGTTTGCCATCAAGTCAAAACCAACCCATAGCTGACCTCCAATGAGTTTTCATAGTATCTTCTTACCATTAGGCCACAGAGCTCCCATCCATACTAATCATCAGGGAGTATTTCATTCTTTCTGTATACTTTTCCTTAGTTTTTACAAAGTATGTATGTAATAGTGAAATCATAGCTAAGAGTACTTTGAAACTACCCATTTCCAAAACCAGCTTTACTTCAAACTGAATTTTGTCTAAGAATAATCAGCAGTATTACAAAAGGTAAACACATATTTTCATAGATTAAAACCCCCACAACTAAAAAGAATTATAAAGTACTTCAGCCACAGGAGTACTGAAGTAATCTAATAGCAAGTAGAAAACAGTTGACTCTTTGAAATTCTTATTGATATTTATTTGCAAAATGATGCAAAGTTTCATAAACTTATAGTTTTCCTGGGCTGGAATGTTCTGTTTGGTGAATTGAGTAAATAGAGATTATCAGTGAAATTAGCATTTCCTGGAGAATTCTGCTTTAACATAAAGAATTGTTAGGGATGATGAAAATACATTCCCAACATTTAACAGCATACAAATTGACTATACTAATGGTCACCAGAAATGAAAAAGGAAGACAGGAGAATCGAGTTATTTGAATTGTAGAGGTGAACATTGAATATCCTGGAGACGGTTCAAAAGAATGAACCAGTTGGTCTTAGAAAAGAAAATAATGAAAAGTCTCCTTAGAAGCAAGGATGATTTAGACTTTGGGTCACTTATTTTAGACATAGGAAAAGACTAGTTACCAGAGAACAACATTGTGTTTGGTGAAGTAGAGCCAGTGGAAGTGAGGGGAAAGTCTCAGTGAGATAAATAAACACAGTAACCACCACAGTGGGTAAACACGCACACCAGGAATCATGAGCATGGCGCAGGACTGGGCAATGTGTTAGTCTCTTATATGAAGACTGGAGCCAACTGGATTGCAACTAATAACAGGCACAGCATGCATAGGATTTTATCATATAATAAGAAGATAGCAAAATAGATGCTTGATAGTGTGAGTAGAATGAGAGTTTTGTGTATTAAACAACACCAAGCCAGTTGCCACCTGGAAGATACCAACTGATGACAGATAGGCACATGTATGCAGAGAACATAGTTTCCAAGGTGGTGGCCTTTGGAGACATCGTCAAGCATTTCTTCAGAAGTGCCTGTGGGAGAATTTGGACCTCTCTCCTTTCGGTTAGGGAACTCTGGTGGGCTAGTGGCAAGAAGCTGCGCTGCAAGTCTGAAGGCACATGGTTCGAGGCCACCAGCTGCTCCATGGGAGAAGGATGGGCAGTCTCCTCCCGTGTGATTAACTGCCTATGAAACTCATCAGAGGGTCAGCTATGGGATGGTTCTGACACCACTTTCACTACCACCACCACAACAACAACAGCCATCTTTTGGCTAGTTGTTGAATGCTTAACCATCTTTGCCACCTAAGGACTTCCTTATTATGTATTTTATATGTAAAAGTCATTGACTAGAAAAGAAATACAATAAAACCTTCAACAGCAGAGTACAGTACGTTTAAGGTAGAAACTTGTCCTAGAAGGAAGACAAAATATTTTCCTTTTATAGAAAAGTGGAAAAGCAAAACACTCGCAAGACTTGAAAAAACAAGGCATTCCAAGAAGGCTCCAACTTTCACTGACTATGTGGTTGGGTTTTTTTTCTTTTCCAAGTTTTATGTTCTTGTGAATTCCATATGTATTTTTTTATGATGTGTAGGCATGCTCTTTAGGCAACCAAACCAACTGTGCTTTTTCTTTTCCTTCTTGTTAAGTTAAATGGCACCTCATGCTAAGCCTCTTTGATGTTCACATGGCCCCTCTGTATATTTTTTTTTTCTAGAATGACAGAAATGCAGGGGCTGATGGAAAGACTGGAGCGGGCGGTGGTCCGGCTGGAGGAGCTGTCTGCAGAGTCCCAGAGGTCCACCGGGGACTGTGGGGAGGTGAACGGTGTCAGCGGAGGTAAAGCCACAAATTGTCCCTGTTCCTGATTTCCATTTGCATCACTTAAGTTATTTGTGCCATTCACAGCTCAGAGTAAGAAATACTTTTATCTCTACTCTTTGACTTTCTTACTGTTTCCTTTATAAGTTAAAATAACATTAGCCAGATGCAAGCCATTGCTGAAGAAGAGAAAGGAAAAATTATAAACCACAAGCTCAGAAAAGAACCATTATCTGTGGGATGTGCTGAAAGTAATTTTTTTTTCACTTTGGTATTTATACTGCTGCTCCACAGTCCATGGTTACATATGTTATCTATGTAATTATCAAAGAGGAAACCCATGTTCTCAATTAGAACCTAAATTGAAAAGTGTTGTCATTCTGTCGATTTTAATTTACAGAACAGCAAGTCATTACATTTAGGAACCTTGACTTTGAAGGAAGCTAATCGGATGGATGCCCTAGCAAATAGGATTTTGATGTGACATGATCACATCTAAGTCATTTTACTTTTGTCTCATCCTAAATCAAATAAATGTACTTTAAATTTATACGATGAAAACTATAAAATTATCTTCTCTTGAGAGACCCATTACATGTAGTGAACTCTAAGTTATCTATAATAATTTTTCTGACAAATACTGCATAATGCCGCTGTTGTAAAACAGGACTAACATCAGGGTTGGGGGGGAGACTGAGAAAGATGGGATAAATAATGTATACTGCATTGAAACAATGAGGGAGAAAACTGTTTAAAAGGGATATGTGATTAGGTATTATTGTCGTGACAGGAGTCCAGAACGAAGGCTGCATAGTGGAGTGGACCTCGGGGAAGGGATTGTAAAATAATGAAAGAATTTTTCTTTTATTTTTCAAAGAGAAGAGTGTACTGGGGGGAGGGGTGGGCAGGGAGAAAAGTGCAACAATGAATGAATGGAAATCCAAAGTCTCTGTAAATTTTCATTTAAATTACTAATTAAAAAAAGAAAAAGAA